CCTGCCTATGCAGGGGGTCGGACTCAATGATCTATTGAGGTCCCTTCCGACCCTAACATCTATGAATCTATGACTCTATGAATCAGTCTGATAGAGGAGTTCAACAGAAAATGAAAGAGTATCTCAAAATGTCTCAGACAAATAATCCTTTATTAGTTTGAATACATGCCACTAGCAGTGCTGTCAACTCCAGTGGTCTTATGTCAGTATTTACTGTTTTTCCTAAAGCTCCACCTCTTGGAGGCAGGTGATTCTTTGAGAATTTCTGCTTTCATTTACAAAGTTTTTAAGCTCTCTTAGGCTGTTTGCAGATGTTAAACAAACAAACAAAAAAACATGCTTTACTAAAAGCTCATGCTTTACTAGAAGAAGCAATACATTAGTTTGACCTGGCTCTGCAACATCTGTATAGATAGGGCACTTCAGCAGCACTTTTTGGCACTTTAATAGCTGATTCAATCAACTATTAGATAAAAGTGCTAAAAAAAGCCCCACTAGAGTAACTGATCTAAACAGATGTTGGGTGAGCTGGGTCCAACTAACGCACTGCCTCTTTTGGGCATGTGCTGGGCTCAGCACAGGAATGCACCGAGGTTAAAAGTAAAGTGCCATGGCGGGGTGGGGGGGGAGGGTTTAATGTCTGCAATCAACTATAGTTATAAAGAAAAGCTTTTAAACAGAATTTGAATGCACCTAAATGATCAGAACCAAAGGCAAAGAAAAAGAACTCAAATATTATCATTTTTAGGTCAATCTAATATTTTTAGGCTTGACTTTTCAACACTTGGAATTGGTAATACTGTGGTTATTAGGATTTAGGGTAGTGCTAATATCTATTACAGAATATAATAGCTCTTGGGTATGTATAGAGTAAAAAGTGCATTTCCTCAGAGCATTTCTCTTTAAATGGAATGGCTAATTTTAGATGTACCTGAAAAGAAAAAAAAGTATTATTCATTCTCTTAATCCTGCAAGGTACTAAGTGTCTGTAATTTGGGCTGATTACAGGCACTGATAACAGTTGGCATTACAGGATCCTGGCTCTTGTTTCTGTTTCTAGTGGTATAATGCTAGAACTAAATGTTGTCTGCAGTGCATGTATGAATCATAACTGCAACTACCTCAGTCCAAGTGCTGATTATTATATTTTCATAATGCTGTCCTTAGGTGCTTCCCCTTACCCAGGTGTCCAAATAGATGAGGACTTCTGCAGCAGACTGAAAGAAGGCACAAGAATGCGTGCCCCACAATATGCAACAACAGAAATGTAAGGGGTTTTTTTGTGTAGGAGATAAATATTTGATGTGCATCTACACTATCAGGTTACATTGGAAACTGGATAATGTCTAAGTCACCAAAAAAAGTGCTCTCTGTGTTAAAAACCAAAGTGCTCTCACTTTTTAAATGGTTGTTAGCCTCTTCTTACAGTCCTACCCCAAACAGAGACTTCCCCAGCTTTTTCACTCTATGAGTTTGAAAACAATTTAGTGATACTTGCAGTATTATTCAAATGATTAACATGGACCCAAGCCCATAGCACCTTTCCTAAGTTGGCTGTCAGCCTTCTAAGTCCAAACACTACCAAGTGTGTTCTTCAAATGTGTTGTTTATAGCTTGAAGGAGGAGTATAAAGCTGCAAAGAAAGGCCATAAGCATTAGAAATGCAAGGTCACTGTCACTGAATTCATCTTTTTTTTCTGGACAAGGATAACTTACATTTTCAAGAGACAAATGGATTTTCAGCTCAGCGCACAGCCTTCAAAAGGAACTGCTAGAAAGAACAGGAAGAATTTTATTCATTCCTGCCCAGACGGCACGTGTACACATTCATTAATGCACAGTGGTTACTGCACATTTAATTTAGTACTTGTATAATCAAGTACTAAATAAATAATATTGTATAATCAAATACTAAATGAATGGACAGTAATTGGAGTTACTAAGCAGTAGCTCAGGTGAATGTCTTTTTAGTAATGCTGCTGTGCAATAGCCTAATAATACTGCTCAGTAATGTATTAGCACTGTTTGTGTTGTAAAGTGCTACTGTGCAGTATTATTAGGCTATTGTGTGCTTAGCATCTTGTGTAGACATGCCCAGATTTAACTATACACTTGATAAGCATCACACCAGTGCACAGTGTTATCATTTTATTAACTTTGGTTGTAATAGAACAAAAGTCCCCCACAACTGCTTTGCTGATGTGGGCTCATCCCTTTATGGCAGTGGCAAGAGAAGATGAAAAGAAAATTCACTCTCTAGACCTACTTAATCTTTGACCTCCATGTTGGAGTCTTTCATCAGTTATGTCCAGGGCCATCCCTAGGGGGGTGCGAATTGGGGCAACTGCCCCAGGCCCTGTGCTTTGGGGGGCCCTGTGGAGCTGGGCGGAGCAGTGGTGGTGCAGAGCTGGGTGGAGCAGCGGCTCCACATCCAGCTGCTCCCCCCCGCGCTCCCCCGGCCGCTGCCACTGCCGATGGTGGTGGCAGCTTCTGCGGGTCTGGGATCGGAGCAAGGGTGGGGCCCCTCATGGGCTGATTTGCCCCGGGCCCTGCACCCTGCTCAGGTCACCTCTGGTTATGCCAACCACGCAGAGAACAATCCACCAGGAGTTGGATTAACACTGCAAACTTTTTTATAGGCTACCAACCTGGTCAAACAATGGCAAATTGCATTCACTACCTACCCTAGAAGTACCTTGCTACCAATCTGAGGAATTGGATATCTGAGCTTTCAAAAAACAAAACAAAGCTCTAAAAGATAAAGTATCAATCTGCAGTGCCAACTCCAGCTGAATTACAGAAATCAGAATGCACTTTTCTGCACAAACCAGTTAGAAAAAGTACAGACCTTGGATAGTTTCACCTCCCTAAGCAAAACTGAATGGCTTCTAAGTATCTTGTCCAGATCTCATGTGGACCTCAGTGACAAGACACAGTAACACATACCAAAAAATGTTATAAGGAGGACTGAAAGGATACAAGTCAGTCTTAATCATCTCTGGGAGTATAGTTTACCAGTTCATTTTGTTATCCTAATGACATTTAATAAAAGCTTTTTTGTTGTTTCAAATATTTTATTGCAGGAAGGAAAATTAAACTTTGACCAATACAAGGAAGTGAAACATTCATATAAGTCATCTTATGGTGCCTTACATGCGACATTGTCAGTTAAATGTAATGCTTAATACAAGTTTAAAGTTTTTGTTAAGAATAAAAAAAAGCTCTGTTAATTTAATTATCCTCATTTTGCAACCTTCCTGAGTTGTATTGCCTTTTAGGAAGCATCTGTTCTCCCAGAAATATTCTTTTTTTTTTCAAAACTTGCTCTTTTATTGTTAGTAAGAGTCTCTGGTATTGTCCAGGTTAAAATACATAGGCCCTTTGGACTTTCATAGATGCCTACCTCTTCAGAACATAAAAATTGTCAATTACTAGGTCAGACCACAGGTCCATCTTGCTCAGTATCCTGTGTCACACAGAGGCAGAGAGTGGATGCTGAAAGGGAAGGCGAACTGGGTGTGACCAGGATTTTTTCCTCACTGTTCCTCTCTCATTTGCAGCCTTCAGCATTTAAGGTCACGGAAGTTCTGATTCAGAGGCTGTATCCCTAATTCCCATGCTCAATAGCTACTGATGACCCTTTCCTCCAAGAATTTGTCTAATCCCTTTTTGAATCTGGCTAAACTGTCAGCTCCCCCAACATCTGGTGGCAATGAGTTCCACACTTTAATTACACACCATGGAACAGGACTTCCTTTTGTTAATTTTAACTTACTACCTGCTAGTTTCATTTTGTGACACCTAGCTCTTGCACTGAGACAAAGTAAATAATAAATCCCTATTTACTTTCTCTTTGCCATTTAGTATTTTGTAAACCCTTCTCACCCCCCACCCTCAAGTGTCTCTTTTCAAAACTGAATAGCACTAGCTTCTTCAGTCTCTCCACATATCCACCCATACCACTAATCATCCTTGTTGCCCTCTGCCCTCATTCTCTGTACCTCCTCTAGTTCTTTTATATCCTTTTTGAGGTGCTCAGAACTGAGAGCTCAGTATCCAAGGTGTGGAGGCACCACAGATTTATAAAGGGGCGTGATGATACTTTCAGTTTTGTTTACAATTCCCTTAATAATCCCTAACATTTTGTTTGCCTTTTTTATGGCTGATGTTTTTAACCAACTGTGCACAATGACTCCCAGATGTCTTTCCTCTGTGGTAAGACCTAATGTAAAGCCCATCATAGTATAGGTATAGTTTGGGATATTTTTCCCAGGTGCATCATTTTGCACTTTTCTATACTGAATTTCATTTGCCATTTAGTTGCCCATTTACTCACTTGTGCCAGATCCTTCTGTAGTTCCTCAGAGCCCACCTTGTTCTTCACCACTTTAAATCATGTTGTATCATCTGCAAATCTGGCTACTGCTACTTGTCCAAATCATTCATGAATATGATAAACAGCATGGGTCCCAACCCAGATCCCTGGGGGACCCTTCTGTTTACTTCTTTCCATTCTGAAAATTGACCATTTATACTCTATTTTCGCTTTATATCTTGGAGCCAATTTCTAATCCATAAATGGACATTCCCTGCAATCCTATGACTATTTAACATGAATGACAATAAACAAACCCAGTGTTAGGATACTGCCATTACAACATTAGTATCACTGATCTGCTACTCTAAACAAGCAAACAAACAAAACCAGCTTTAATACTGAGTATATTCATTTTGCTTTATTGTTACAGCTACCAAATCATGTTGGACTGCTGGCATGGCAATCCCAATGAAAGACCACAGTTTTCAGAGCTGGTGAAAAGATTAGGGGACCTGCTTGAAGCAAAAGTGCAACAGGTAGAGAAATAAAGAACATTCACCAATATCTCTGTACACGATGTCTACAGAGTGGATTATGTGGGTAGTAATTTAATATATTTGTGTGCATTTAGGATGGCAAGGACTATATTCCCCTGAATGCTATATTTACTGCAGATACTGGGTTTGCATACTCAAGTCCTACTGCAACCAAGTCTCCTTTGAATGAAGATGTATCTGCTCCAAAATCAAATTGTGAAAGCACTGAAAATATGAGGTAAGGTAGGAAATACTAAAATGCTTACTTTATGACATTCCAGCAACTAGGTATAGGAGAGTTTTTCTCTAATGTAGCTTTGATTAGGGGATCAGAAGAATAAAAACTATCCTAAACTTTCCACTGCTTCCATTAAAAGACTCAAAGCATTGGGGTTTTTTTGGTGGTGGTGGGGGAGAGGGGCGCGATTAACCTCACCCTTAATTTTTCTTATCTTCCCTGATTTCAAAATGGCAACTGGTGCTTCTCTCCTTTCTTGTGAATCCCCCAGTCTAGCAAATGTCCAGTGCCTCCCATCCCATCAACACTTGCCTTCATTTCAAAATTTCGTTTGCTCTGAAGTATGCAACAAATTCTAGGTTAAATAATCCCACAGCACTTTACGGTAACAGTTGTGGATGAGGCTTGGCAAAGGCTGTTATGACTTCTGAGAGCTATAGTGAATTTGGGGTAAGGGTCAAACAGAAGGTAACCTACTGATAGACTGTGGGGCAGGGAGATATGATAAAAGACCCATTGAAGAAGGAAAATAGTGCCCTTTTATGAATCATAGGAATGTAACCTCACTAATTACTCTTATTATACAATGGATTGTATATGGGCAAACCATTTAGCTGTCATTACTTTCTGCTTTTTAAAATATTGGAAAAGTTCACTACTTTACTTTGTTCTGGACTGCCCATTTTACTGCGCACTTGCTAAGGTTTCACCAAGTAACTATTTATTTCTCTTCTACAATCTTTCTTCTCGCTTCTTGAATAGATACATAAATACCTTCAAAATGAAAGCAACCCAAAGAGTGAAGACCTTTGAAGAACTTCCAGTCAAGAATACCTTTGTATTTGATGTAAGTGACACCTGGCCTGAATGAAATGCATCTGGGTCTTTATTCAGTTATTTTTATTAGTGCAGTGCAATATTATCTGCTTTTAGAAAAGAGCGTTTTTTTTTAGAAATGCTGCTGTAATAGGCTAAGAGCTGAAGAACACAAGATGAGGAGTAGCAGTGTATCCTCAGCAGACTGGCCGGCTTAGCCGAGTTCCATGACCTGACTTGCAACCGGTCACAGAAGCACAGCCAACAAACGCTGTGGGAATTGCTAACCAGTGTCTTATCAGATCTGAGCAGCCTGATAATGCAGCTTCCAGTGTCTAGGGCTTCACCTCAGAGTCACGTGTGTAAAATCAGTGAGAAGGAGGCACTGGGTCTGGGTCTTAAGAACCTAAGTCTCACTGAATATCAATGCCTAAAATGTGACTCGGTAAGAATAGGCAAGAGCACTGAGTTCAGCTCCACACATCTAACTTTGCTGAGTACTGGGTTCCTAGCAAGGTGCAGCCAGGCGGGCAGCATTAGTACTAGTATACATGGGGGGGGTAATGGTAAATGAAGGGCATATCTATGACTCAGATGAGTTGTATTTCAGCTTCACACTTAGGCTTACAATATCAGTTTCCCCATCTCTGCTGTTGTGATCCCATGGAAAAATTAGACTAGTTAACCAAACAACTGTGTTCATAAGAGATATTTTTTGTTTAAAAAGTCCTCTTTGGGTTGGCTGTGTGTGTGAAATCAGTGGGAGAAGGCACTTTGAAGCTCTGTATATTAAGACCCAAAGGCTCATTGAAAGTCAGTGCCCAAAATGTGACTCAGTAAGAACAGGATTCATTTGTAAGTTGGTCTTTTAACATTGTTTCTTCCTGCTTTTGTTTTCAGGATTACCAAGCAGACAGTGGGATGGTGCTGGCTTCAGAAGAACTGAAACGCTTCACTTGGGCAGACAGCAAACAAAAACAGATGTTCTTTGGGTCTGTGTTTCATGCTCCCCCCATTAGAAAGAAAAACATGAACAGTGAAAGACCTGAATGCTTTTGTGCTAAATCATGCTAGACATAGACACCCCATGGTGTCTGTAAATAAGTTAGTCACCACGTATGCTTTATAACTGGTTATTTATTCAGTGCCCACAGCTGAAGGATCTGGACACCTTATAGCAAATGAAAAACAATATGGGGAAAACTCCCCAGAGGCAGCGTCACTGCCTTTTACATCTGGTTTTCACCTGGTTGAACAGGTGTACTGTGGTTGCTGCCTATCAGAAACAAGTTCCAAAAACAATAGCATTTTTGCTAGGTATGTCTTGTATCTGCTCCTGGGAGACACCAAGGATCCCTCCAGCAGCAATTAGTTTAACAATGCTTGTTTTTTGCCCTTCTTTTCCATGAGTCAGCTAAGAAGAGCCCATTTAAGATCCACAGGCTCAGGATGCTAAAATGGCAACTTTACAATAGATGGATGTAAGGGCCTCATTTCTCTTCCTGCTGTTAAGCACTTTAATATATTGGCCACCTTCCTCTGTCTAATTCCTGACAGCTGCCCAAGAAGGGAACTGGGGCTGTCCTGTGAAAAGTACTGTACACACAAGCTATCTCTAGATGGGAAATGTGTTTTTTTTTTTTTCCTCAGTAATGGTGGTTTCTCAGTTCCAGGGCCATTATGAGACTGTCAGTCTTAGACTAGTTTCAGTTCCCAGCTTCCGGTCAGCTCACAATGTAGAGACTGCCTTGACCAGAGGGATCATTCATTTTATGCTGGCATTAGGTCATGGCCATTATTCCATCTTGATTGTGTTGGATTTGTCAGCAGCTTGGAAGTGGAGCGCACAGGTGTGGCACTGTGTTTCTGAGTGACTGTAGATGATGGAATCCTTGCTAAAAAACAGAAATGATATGCTTAAAGGAAAACAGTGATTTTCTGCATGCTTTTGTTAAATACAGGCAAAGCGAGCATTTGGCTGGGGATGTACCCAGAATGTCTGGTGATAAAGTGGAAATGTTATATTGGCAACAGTTTGTAGTGGGGTATTTTTCATGACTGGGGCAGCTAGGGTTATACTGGTCATTGTGAAAAAGTGCTGATACAAACTTTACACTGCACGCACCCTCAACACCCACATGCTGCAGGAAAGATTATTGTATTAATGTTTATAGCATTTGCATTTTCTTATTTTTTTTGCATCCTGGTACACTATGGTACTCTTATGGTTTCTTGCAAGCCAGGTACTCTAATCCCTATAACTTTTTTAGCATGTAGATTGCACAGGGATCAGTAGAACAAAACTTTCTTAGAAATGGTATTAAATAGAGACATGAAATTTTGTAAGTCTGGTATCTTGAGACACCCTGAGGCTAGAAACAAGTGCTAGTTGACTTACTGAAAATGTGATAATTTCCCCACTTTAATAGTGTATGGCTCCTGTTTCTGAGACTGTGATTTATACAGAGCTGCATGTCACCTGTTCTGTAGTTCAGTAAAATCTTTTTAAAAGGACTCTCTCAGTCATAGAAAAGAAGCCAAAGTGATTTTAAAGAACAAGGATGGTTATAGGTGTGAGAATTATTTTTCTTCTGTGAGATAGATCAGTTGGCAGGAGGGGAGATAATTGAAACTGCATAGTAAAAAGCAATGGGTAACAGATGTTAATTGTTGACAGCAGATGAGTATTTGAGCTAGAGACCCCATTAAGCTGATTGGTATGCCAAGACTCCTTCATCTAAACTAAAAGGAAAAGTGGGATACCATACTAGGTCAGACCCTGGGTCTATTTAGCCCAGTATCTCATAAGAGTAGAGAATAAGGGGAAGAGTATGTATGCTGGGTGAACTCATCGTGATCTACAAGTTGGCCACAAACTCCTGGAAGACTGATTCAGGCTCAACATTAAAAAAAAACTTCTTCACAGTCGGGTTGTCCAGACTGTGGAATAAGCTCCCTCCAGAGGTGGTGCAATCACCTACCCTGGAAATCTTTAAGAGGAGACTAGACGTTCACTTTGCTGGGGTCACTTGACCCTCAGTTATCTTTCCTGCTCGGTGCAGGGGGTTGGACCCAATGATCTTCCAAGGTCATTTCTGGCTTTACAATCTATGAATCTGTCCTCTGCCTTTGTTCTCTTACAGTTTCCAGCACTTAGAGACCTAGGAAGTCCCAATTTGGAGCTTGGACCCATTATTGTGAAGTTTAATACCTACTGATAGGTCTATCTTGCATGAATTGCTTGTGAACCTAGTTGTCATCTTCTGCAATACCTTGAGGCAATGAGTTTTACAAGTTAATTACATGCTGTACAAAAAAGAACTTTCTAAACCTGCCTCCTGATAATTTCCTTGCATGTCTCCTACTGTTGTAAAAGGTAAATACTAAACTATTTACTTTCTCCACCAAAAAGGAAAAGAATATTGCAAGTCTACTAGGCTAGGGACAGACATTACACATAAACTGGCTTAAGTGATCAGAAACTGGTTTAAACCTGCAACAAAAACAGATGTTCAGAGCACATAAACCAGTTTGAAAATGGCTGAAACTGACTTGAGATAAACCTGGTTGAATGTAGTATCAGACTTAACTGATTTGGGTCAAACTGTTTTTGACAGTTTGACCCAAACTGGCCAAGCTGGCCCCTCCCCTCTGCTCCCTGGCTGGAGCTCTGGCAGAGACTGCAGCTACAGCAGGGTCTGCCTGGCTCCCTACTGCTAGTCAAGCAGGAATCCCCCCTCCCATCTGCCATAGCACAGACCCTAGCCCCACAGACCCTAGGCACGTGGTATGCTAGCTAATGCTGAGAGGTGTCTGTGTCCGTCTCTAATTTCACTGGGACACGCAGAGAGAGCAGTGACTGCTTAAAGCTTTTTGGAGCTAATCAACAGGTCAGCTGGTAAGCTGTTTAAGAAGAGTCTGAACTAATGGAGAGAGGCTAATGTTTTGCTGATGGCCTGATAAACACTGTTATCAGCTCCCTACTGGCTTGCTTGCCTGTCAGTTCGCTGCAGACAGTATAAAAAAAGTGGGGAGGAAGATTGAGAAGGTCTGTATCATCAACAGATGCATGCACTGCATACCCCACCACCCCCTTGTCTCAGAGTGCTAGCAGGGGAGTGGGGTCTGGCAACACTCCTACCCCTTGAGCAGGGAAAAGCCTGGGATGGTGCAGGCGGACCTCCCTAATCAGAACTTCCTGCTGGGGCGTGGCCACACCCCCACTCTGTGGAAGGGAAAGGAGGGCTAATGCCCCCTGGCTTCTAGCCTGAGCCACTGCAGGCATGTGCCTGAATTTCCTCAGTCCAGAGAGAATGTCTGTCTGGTTACAAACAAGTTCAGCTTAGCCAGGTTAGACTACCCTGCAAAGGTTGAATCAATTCAAGCTGAGGCTTTTTGAATGTCTGTCTCTAGCCCTGAAGACAGAAAAATAAGTTAAGACCTGAGCTGAAGCTTGTTAGCTCAAGTTGCAAGATTGTAATAATTGCCTAATAAGATATTTATATTTTATTTTGATTAATGCTGCTTCCACCATCCTTAAGACCAAGGGACTGGGGAAAGACATCCAACTCCAGTCATAGGCCTGGCATAAAAACCCTGAATCAGAACAAACAAACTCTAAACTGAAATTTACTTTTAAGGTAGAAAGAGCTTCCAACTGCCCTGAACTCCTAAACCAGGAGAGTACTACCTAAACTAAACTATTCCTAAGGACAGAAAGCAGACCCCAAACTACAACCAGCATCTCAAACCTAACCCAAATATTCAAATGATACTCCCAAACTAAAGCAAACAGGTTGTGGCTGGAGCAGACTCTATAGAACCCTAGCAGCTCCATTCCCACCCTTCCCTTTCCTTCCCCACAAGAGGTTCTTGCCAATCAGCCCTCTCAATCTGGCTCAAAATTGGACCTGACCATCAAGCACAACATTTACAGTTTCTTTTTGAGTGTTCTGGAAGGTTTTGCTCAAGGTAACACCACCACCATCATCTCCTTTTTCTCAGTCAGGAGTAGACTAATTACTCTGGGGAAGTTAGCCATGGCAGGAGCTTGTAGTAGCACTAGAGCTGGTTCTAGTTCAGCAGCTTTGGTTAAGTACAGACAGTTAAAAAGCCTAAGATTGATTCAGTTCAGTCTTTGCAGGTTAGTCTAAGATGCATAGATTAATTCAAAACAGAAGCGAACAGACATTTACCTTTGATTCAGGAAATGTAGCCACATGCCTGCACTAACTCAGGCCAGAAGCTGGGAGACACTAAAGCACGGCAGCTCTAGCTGTGTGTTCACTTCCTCTTCCTGCTACCCAGAGGTCTCTGGGATTTTCAGTCCAGAATTGAAGCAGCAGGACTCTGCAGGGCTGCTCATCACTTCCTCTTCCTGATTTCAGGTGCTTCTGGGATTTGTAGTCTGCAGTAAGTTTGAGTGGGGAAAGGGGTGTTTAACCCCCCTTCCTGGTCCCAGAGCCCAGCTGGGGTTTGCTGGGGGCACCCCCCATTCAGACTGCGCTTTATCTCCAGCTGGGCTTGCTACCTCTCCCTCCCCTTTGTCAGCCAGCCCTCACTGCCCCAGCTAGAGGGCAGAGGGGCGGGACCAGCCCTGCTCTCTGGACCAGACAGCCCAGCCTATGGCTGGAAAGCATGCTGGCGGGACTGTGAGTTAACTTGAACTGGAAGGGGTCTGGGACAGAAGTTTCATAAACAGGTTTGACCTAAATCAGTTTATTCTGATACTACATCCAACCAGGATATTAAACCAGTTTCAGACATTTTAAAACTGGCTTATGTGCACTGAGCTTCTGTTCTGTTACAGGTTTAAACCAGTTTCTGATCACTTAAACCAGTTTATGTGTAACTTCTCTTCCTAGCTTTTGTGTTTCCTTGAACCTTTCTGTAGCTTTGAGGTTACTGAGTGCTGTTGTGCTGTGGAGGCCTTCCACTGTTGGATAATTTTCTTAAAGCTCTGATGTGCAAATACAGCAAAAGCTCAAACATTCAGTTACAAACCAAGCTTCAGGGAAAAGCAGGAAAAAGATATGAAAGCCAGGTGTGAATAAAGAACTTGCCTGTATTAATAACTAGTTGTGGCTGATGATCCTCTTTGAATGCACAAATGTGCTAATATTGGTATTCTAACTGGAGGAAAAGGGGAACCAGCCTTACAAAATGTGATCTGCATTTGCTTTTTACCAGCTTATTGCACCTGAAGGACTCAACAGAGCCTTGCAGTGTGATATGCTTGTGCATTTCCTGCTTAGCCCTTTTACAAAGTCACTTCCTTTGGCCTTCATTTTCTGATGACTGGTACACACAGCTGCACAATTTATCACTGAACTTCTACTAGTGTGACTCTATCTCTCCATAGAGCTGCAGGCTTAAGATAAAAAATAGATCAGATCTTCAGAGGCTGTTTTAAACACCATCAACAGGTGTATATGTCTGCGCAGTGCTGAGTCAGCTGGCTCCCTGAGAGCCCCTTCCTTCGGAGAGCTGGCAGTAAGGTGACTTTGCCAAACATCTGCCTCAATGGCTTGAAGTACAAGATACTAGTGTCCCACAGGAGCTGGTGCCACTGACCCCCCCGCCCCTTCCACTTTCCCACATACTAAAGGCCTTGTGCTAAACATCTCAAGGCTTCAGAGCTTTGTTTTTCTTGAAAGATTTTATTGCACAAACCAAAAAACAGTAAGTCTCCTTCAGCCTCGTGGCCTGGGCCAGAGCACTCACCCCCCTTGTGCAGATGAGATGATATGCTCATGACCTTTTTAACATCTCACCTGTTTCAGTTCTTGAACCAGCCTTCTTGAACACTGACAGCTTTAAAGTGCTTTACTATACAATATGAAGCAAACAGTGGCATATAGGGTGGCCCATGTGATTTGAGAGAGAGCTTTTCTTGTGTAGAGCCTCAGGCAAAATACAGCCTGGGTTAAGTGGCTAGCTCTCATCACAGAGCCTGAGACTTGGGAGTGGGGGAGAAGCAGTGGCTGAGAAAACGCCCATCTCACCTGGTGTCTACCACCACCATTCTCATCACCACCAATGAAGGAATAAATTGGTTGGGGATGATATAGGCATAGCTGTACCCATATTCTGCTATGGGTATTACCTATATTTCTGGGCTTTCCTGGTTGCCACGTGGGGCTGGGAGAGAATCCTTTCCCTCGTCCTCTCCTTTTCTGCTATGTCAGGCGTTTTGTTTTTTTATGCCTTCCTCAGAGGCATTGGATGTTGACTGTAGCCAAGGTTGCGGATTTTGACTGGGATGTGCCAGTGCTCCTGCTGGGATTTAAAGCCAGAGATTCCTGGCTAGAGGGTCTTGCCTCTCCGCTCAGGGTCCCACCACTTTCCATATTTGGGGTCAGGAAAGAATTTTGTCCCATGGTCAGATTAGCATGGACTGTGGGGATTTTTGCCTCCCTCAGTAATGGGAGACATGGCTTTCTACCTGAGATCTGCTGAGCACGTATTAACAACTTTTTACAGATGCAGGATGTTGGCTGCTGTGGTTCCCTTGCTTTACCTGTGGCAGGTTAGGGGGTTACATCGTGTTATGTCAGGGTTGACAGTAGTTTTACTAGGAGGTTAGATCATGGATTTGTATAGGATGATTTGGATAGGGATAATTCTGCCTCAGGCTGGTGGTTGAACTAGATGACCTATGGAGGTCCCTTCTTCTCTATAATTTTATGAATTGGGTGGTTGCCTTTCACAATGCTTCTTTCACATCAACTATGACTTTCCATGCAATTTTCATGCACTAAGAGTGATCTCTCTTTCTGCAGTCTGAAAGCTGGCAGCAGGAGCAAGGAGTCTGTTCTCTCTGGAATGACCAAGCCAAGTTTCTTCAGTTTCAGCTGCGGCCACCTCAGTGAAGCTAGTCGAAGACTTGCTTACGGCAGCTTGGTGCTGGAGAAGATGAAGACGTGCAGGTCTCCCCCTCCTGACTACAATGCCATGGTCTTCTATTCCCAACCCCCTGTGTAAAGAACTGCTTAACAAAGGTTCAGAATATGGACACAAAAATGCTTGGAGCCCTTTCAAAAGGGCACCAGCTGGTACTTCAATAGTTGTGCACGAACAAGCTGAGAACGATTCAAATCCAGCAAATGCAAATGCACTGGAGTGTTAAAGTTGGAGTGACTTGCTGTATTTGAATTGTTCTCAGCTTGTTCACATGTAAGTTAGAACATACCAGCTGCAGCCCTTTTAAAAAGGCTCCATCCTCTCCAAGCCTACTTTAATCTGAAACATGTTTCTCCCTTTCCCCCTCTGATAAACTCATAAATTCAAAAGCTTAAAGAGCTGCTTTTTGAGCAATCGGACCGGTTTTCTCCCCCAGGCACTCACTGAAACTCACATGACCTACTTTCCTTCAGACTGCATTAATTGCAGCACTTGTGTGAAACGTCCTAGAGCCTTACTGCTGAGGCCAAGGGCTTGGCTTTCTCAAATGTTCAACACCTGTAGTGCTCAAATGGCTAGGTCTGCCTGCTCAGTATTCCAGAAAATTAGGCACCTAATTGCCATAAAGACCCCAGCTGACTTCTGGTCCCCCCCATGCAGCAGTGGCAGATCTGACTCCCATACCAAGGGTGATGTGTTATTTAAGTGGCATCCCAACCATTTAGGAGCATTGACATTTGAAAACAGGAACCCAATTCGACTTTCCTTAAGGATAGCATGGTGAAAACAGTATAGCACTGTTCATGTTGGTGTGGGTGCGACAGAATGGCAAGTGACTAGGTGGGGACCTTCCAGGTTGCATACACAGCAAGTCCTGCAATCGATTTCCAGGGACTGAGAAGTTCCAGTACAACAGCCTCTTTGTGGAAGCCAAGTTTACTTGCATAGGACTGGGAGATGAAAGCACTTTTGGCCCCAACTTCTTTTTTTAAGATCAACAAGGCTTTGTACTTTGAGTGTGATGGAAAACTAATGCTTTGAGGGCCCTTCAGTTCTGGTAACCCCAGACTTAAGTTTTAACTTAGCAGCTCCCACACTAGTCTGCAGACCAGTTAGTGCAAAGATCACACTACCCCCTCCCCTGCCCTTTCAATGAAGACCATGAGAATGGAACCTATTGGTTTACACAATAAGTTGGAAGGTCAACAATGGTCAAAAAAGTCCAGTGGCCACTGTCATGCTACTTTCTTAGACCATAAGACCAAGCCAAGGTCCTCTTGAACTAGGAATTTCCACACACTCTACAAAGTGCAGTCAAGGATACAAAAATTAAACTTGATTGAATTAATACACAGATATGCTTTCTCAAGCTTGATCAGGTCAAGCAAATCATCTTGCACTTTGTCATTCTCCCCTTGAATGTGCACTGGAGATATTTTAACTTAAGATGCTTAAGCTAAATTTATTCTATGATACCTGCTGGGCTGTCTAATATATTGCACTGATTATCTCTTACTTATGGGAATCTGTCAGCAATGTAACAAGGTAGCCAGTAAGTTCTGTATATTGCTAAAATGAAAAACCAGTTATTAGATGGTGGGGAAAAGGTTACTCACCAGTAACTAACTCTATGACTTTTGGTGGTGATGGAAGCTTTTCCATAAGTGCAACTGAATTTCAAATTCTCTTAATAGTATTTGTGTATTGTAGCAAAAGTATATCAGCAATGCATCCCATACTTTTTGCGCAGCAACTCAGAAAGGAAATCTGTCCTGGGCTTCAACAGCTGTAAAGATGCACTTTCCCCCGTAAGCTTTGTATGCAATATTAAAAGGCCTTCATAAAAAGTTTATAACAAGTTAGAGCAGAAAATATTCTCTCCCCCCCCCTTTTTTTTAAAGGAGGAAAACACCTTTGAACCAATTATTAAAGAGTGTTTTGTAAGTGTCACTCCTTAGCCAGCTGTTCTAAAGAACACTCTGTGACTGGCATCTACTCCTATCAAGGGACTGTGACATTGTCTAACTGTGACAATATGTAGTCTCTCAGTGGTGGAGAAATTGATCAAAATCTGATGGGCAATACCCACTTTCACTATAAAGAATGGATAGTATATCTCTGAAGGAGGGTTGCATAATGTAAATAGGAATTAAATATGCTTTTTGTGCATAAATATTTAAGAATTGGAATACAAGATTACTTTTATATGAACTTTAAGTTCCTTGGGACATAAATAACGCACTTTTTCTTACACACATATTTTTATATAATAATTCATTGCTAGAATCCTACAATAAACTTTACATTTTGAAAGTCTTCTTCAAGTTTTGCATGGGTGATTTGAACAGATGGATTAGAAGACTCCATGGGGCAGTACTCCCAAATATGCTGACAGCTTTATAGTCAAATAACAGCACCCATGTTTTCTGCAAAAGTACACTTCCCACAAGGCACACAAGTGCTATGTTGGATAGTGATTACAATGGCTTGCATGTGAAATGTATAAAGTGCACTGAACTGAAAAGTAAGGTGGTGCCCTCTACTCCTTCAGGATGTTACTTTACTAGCTTTTGAAAGCCATCTGCAAAGAAAAGCTACTCCTTCTAACATTTCCCTCAGAAAATTGAACATTATCTGGTCAGTGTTTGTTTAACTTCTGCCTCTTCCTCCACTCCTTCATTAATCCGCACCTCTGAAGCAGAGTGGTAAATTGGCAGCAGCCTCTAAGATGCCATGGTAACCCAGCACAAAACCTCCGAGCAAGTATAATGAGAAAAATCAATGTCAGAAGCACAGAATAGGTCACAGGAGCCAAAGTCTTATGGCAGTGGTAGTGCTGAACTGCCATCTTGTTTTTCATGGGTCTGTTGGCTCTGTGAATGTCTTAACTTACCTTTTCTGATTTGGAGTCTTCTGCAAGGCTTCATTTACTTAAAAGTTCACTTGGAAAGACATATCAGAATGACCCTGGAAGAACAACTGTCCATGCTTGGTATAACTCTGATTATGATCAAGAGAAATTTCTGTTTTGTACTGATGCTTGATGTACTGTGCCTTTATGCCAATCTAAGGGAGATTTACTGTGACTGGCTGAATAGCTGATTCTTGCTTTAAATTCAAAAAATATTCTCTAGGAGGCTACTTCAAGCCGCCATTCAGTAGCTTGGCCAGATACTAAATACTTTTGATTCCTGCATATGAGAGGATTCCTAAATGTGTCCCTCCCTCCACCCCCATTAAAGATGCAAGTTGGTATCTAGAAGATCTAAATTAGAAAGAAAGAGGGTATAGCAGTATTCACCAAACCTTGTGGGTTTATGCCACAGTAGCAAAATCAGGCACTGTTGCAGCACCCCTATTTCAGCCACTGCCACCAATTCCCTCCCACCGGTAGTGGGGGTGGCTGAAGTTAGCTTGTCTCAGATGGCTCAAAGTCAAGTAAATTCTGCACTGGGATAGCCGGTAGAGTAGTTCTTGGCATGTCTAGTACATTTTGAGGTTTGCAGATGAATATTGTAAATAACTAGAAATATAGTACTGGAAGAGATACAAATCCTCATGCTTCTAAACCAGTTATTCTTAACTAAGATGCCATGAGATCCTTTTGAAGGTGCCACACCCGTATTAGTTACGCAAACCCCTACATGTGATTCACAAGATAAACCCAGAGATTTCAAATAGGAATGCATCATGTCAAAAACATTCTGACCTGTCATGGCCTTTTTAAGTTCTCTGCAACAGAACAACTGCTTTACTATTGTTCCAGTCAAGAAATAAGTAAAAAATAAGATCTGGCATATTCTAAGGGGTGCCCTGAGTCTAAAAAAGGGTAAGCACTTGCACTGCAGGTTGACCGCCCCTGCCTTAGGGCTTTTTTCCCCTCCCCAAACCTGCCTCTGCAGTGCAGACATGAGGCATGCTAAGGAAGATGCATGTTGTCCAAGATCCCTGGGAATTTGTTTCCCCATTTCTTAAATTCACATTCTAGTTCATACAAAAAGTTATAACCCACTGCTTTTGGTTTACTAGCTACTGCAAGTTACTGAGGAGTGCTGCTGTGAGACTTCTGTAGCAGATGAGAGAGATGTGTATGTGCATGTAGTTGTTGAACCCACTTTTAAGGAAATGAGAGAGTTAACAGTAGAGAAGTGCTTCCTGCCTTCTGAACTTCTGAGAAGTGCATCAAGCAAACTTGCTGCAGCTTTATTTTAGTCATATGCAAAATAAACTCTCTAAAGCAATAATGCAATTTAAGGGACCAACGGTCCAGATTCAATTTATGCAAGAAAAACAGAAAATTGACAATTTTACATGTATTATACAAAATCTTATGACATTACATAAACATGTAGGAGGGTTGTGTGGGTACAGAGGACTTCACCCCACTAGTAAGTCACTTTTGCTGGTTAACAATACAGAACAGAATTTGGGGCATTGAAGAGGTCACTTATTTCATGTGTAATTTTCAGATAAACTAAAACACATTGTTATTGGACAAGAGATCTTGATAAACATGGATGGAAAGGTATTTTCAACACAGTTTCTTAGAGTTAGGGACAGTCTATTTACGTAAAGCGGACCTGGTTTGATACAAGCAGAAAGGAGCTACTACTTGGACTTGGGGGTTAAGGAAATGCATATTACTATGTCTCTAATGTACAGTATCTAGAAATTTTAGGCCAAGTGGTAAACATCAAATGCAGTTTGCACATCATGATTGTTCAAACTCTGCATTGGAGTCATTTACAGAGTGAAATACAAAAGGAATTTCTGATGGAATGAAATATTGTTCCAATACTAAAGATGTAAAAAAACGCTATCCAGCTTGACTACTTAGCATGCTCAAAATAAGGCTACATTATTTCTGGTATTCTTTATTAAAAATACTGCTGTACACATGGAGAATGAAAACAGAATTAAAGATGAGTAACACATTGGGATCGTGACATAAAAACATAACATATTGGTGCTTTCTGGGGGAAGCTGTTGACATCTGAATTACTGAAACCAGGGCAAAACAAAAATACGTAGGTACCCTCAACAAAATATTTACAGCATAGTAAATACAGAAACAGAATCTAAAACAGGTACAAAAATTAAAATGACTGACATCACATGATTTCAAAGGTTGTCCCTTCTGTGCTTTTAGCTGTAAAAACTAGGAAGGTCAGCATTATATTCCCAATGGAAGGGTAAGTCCTGGGTGATCGCTTTGTTTAAACATACACAAAACTCTTCCTATGAATGGGACAGATGACAACTTTAGGACAACCTTCTAAATGGAATTAAAATGGGGTAGAAGGGCTCTCCCCAAAAAACACCCAAGCAGAACTTCAGACTGTTCAAATCATTCCCAAATATAGACCAAATTAAATAAACAGAAAACAAAGCTCAATGATTTTTTTTGTTTTATGTATTACCTGACACCAAATATTTTCTGGCTGACATTATGTACTTATGAAACATTATTAGCTGTCTACCTTTTGTTTTTAAATCAAGTCCTGAGGTTACTAGGGGCTGAAGCAAACTGACATTAAGCAAATACACACAAGTTTGCAATTTAGTCTTGTCTTGTAAAGAGTGGTTTGCTGGTCTAGAAAGGATGAGAATTCAAGCCCTATTGTACCCCTGCCTTAAGCTTTCACAAAATATTGGTCCACAAATTAAATTTCTAAAGGTTCCCAAACCCCACAACTGAATAGATGATCCCCTTTCATTTTCAAAGAAAACAATACTGGAAAAACCTCAGCCCGCTTATAAATTAAGCATTTCATATTTCTTCTAGAATACAAGTACTTCTTTTTTGTACAAAAGAATTACAATATGATTTGTCAAAAAACATATAAAAGACAGCTGCTCTTCCTCAAATACATGAGCTAATGATAAAAGACTGTTTTGCATGTTCACTTCTCAAAGTTCCTGTTCCTTTTACGTTAAAAAGAACAATATTGTGGCAATTGTCATCTTTTGAATATTAAACATTATGTTCCTTTTAAAATTCATTCAATCAAATGCAACAATAATTGATTTTTAAACTCAACAACTGATGCTACCTAATGTGGATTCAACCACATGGTCTAAAATGTGTAAAGCATGTCCCTAGTCTTCAAAGCTTTCGATGTGAAGAGAGTTGCTTTTCTTGATGCAAGTCTCAAGGCGGAGAATCATTTTAAAGCTTATAAAAGTGGACAGAGAAATATTAAAAACTTCTCTGAAAACTACAAATATTGAGAATTATTAAAATTGATGCCAGTAACATCAGTTGCAAGTGCTTAGAGTCTGTCCTGACCTTTTGAGTTCCCACATTTTCTTCATGGTGAGCACCCAGTGCTATTAAAACATTCAGTGCTGGGAAAGGATAGATACAGTCTTCACTACTGCTTTAAGAAAGGAAATTCCTACATATTTGGCAGTCTTCGGTATCAAAGTGTAGGTGTTTATCTTTTTACTATAAATCCCAGGAATACCCAAGCTTGGAGACAACTGTATGTCCAAATATTAGAAAGTTAACTGAGGAAAATTCCAGACTTTTGAGACTGAATTACTTCAGGAATATTCATGTGTTGAGTATTATCAAAAGTAATATTACTTTGGGCTAAGCAGTGACTGCAAAAGGCACAGCAGATCATTCTCTCTTCAGATTCAGGTTGTAAAACTTCAAAAGCTCTTGATGCCAGACAACTGCTGTGTTTAGTTAATCTTCTTAACAGTGTCTTTGTATCTGTATCCAGTGTAGAGTACCATAATAAAGCTGTGGTTCGAAGAACAGAACTTTATACAAAAATTATACTGTAAATAACCTAAAGTAATACAATCCTGAAACTTCAGGCATTTAACACAATTTCTTTAAAAAAATTCTATTAAAAAAATTGCATAAATGTAAATGCATCTGACTAGCAGGAAAACATACAAACAGTTTTTAAAAGGCGCTGGTTGTGTTTAGAGCAAATTTGATATGCTCCTTAAATGACAGATGTTTTTCTAGGTGTTTCAAACGATGCTATTTTGTCACTTTGCTTAGACAAAGATTAATCAAATGAGAGGGGATTTTATATGTCAAATAACCGATACTTTCACTTGATTTCTTTCTTTTTTTTGAAATTGCATCTTCTGGCTTGGCTTGTTAACTAACAGTGGGTGGCATACAGAGCTTGCATACAACACACTTTTACAGAGGATACAAACTAAATGGTAATTTATAGAACACAATTTCTATGAAATTATTTACCTGGTCCTTTATGTTATTCTGGGTGCAAATAATATCAAAATGAATAAATTCTGCTATATCCTCAGGGACAAAAATGTATCCCAGAAATGTCCTTGCAAAGAGTTTCCCTTAATAAGTATACAATGTGGCAAAACTTCAGAGATCAGAAAAGTCTTAAAAAAATTAAAATTAGTGCATATACAAGTGGAAAAAATAAAAGCAGGAACATCATGCACCTGATGTGTTCCTTAATCTAAAATAAATTCTTCACAGATAAAGCCTCCAATGGCAGCCATAGCTCTAGGATAAGTGAAACATTCTTCCCTTCAAGTAACAGTGTACCTGACTGAAGTGCAAGCAGCTTTGCTCATCTCCTGTTTGTTTCCCAAATGTGAAATGAGATGACAACAACAACTCAGCTGTAGTGCAATTTGCTATTGGTTAAGTTCCTCAGCAATGTCCTGCATACTTTCAGCAAATACTACAACTGGCCATTTGCGGCTGCAATCAGTTCTTGAAAAGTATTTTCAAAGCAGCGTTTTAAATCGCTGTAAGTTACCACAAGTACACTCTTCTCGTCTCTGGAAATGAGGCTTATTTTTTCTGGCACACCAGCATCTAACTGTAACAAGAATGCAAAAGGCAAAATAAAGACTCATGTGAAAGAAATGGCAACACATTTTCCTAAATACAGAAGTGATCAATTGCTTAGTGAGATTTGTGGTTTCTTTTCATGCAATTCATTTCCAATCTATTCATAGAGTGCCTGTAGCCAGGACATTCTCACACCTGTAAAGCCCAAACTGTACCCTGACCCTCATATGCATTCTAGACCTTTACTAATAGTTTCAAGAGTATTGTCAACTTTTTCTGAAATGCCACTGTACCCCCAGGGAATCAAGAAAAGCTGGGATAATCTTCAAGTCTACACAAGATATAAAAAAATCAAATGTCCATGCAACTCACCTGATAATACCTCAGATCCACTAGTAACAATGGATGGTCTTAGCCTTTATTAACAGGATAGGACAGGACAGACACTGCCTGAGTAATTTGAGCACCTTGCTATAATGCTTTGTAATGCCTGAAACCTGCATTCCCAACTACTACTGAACACTGAAAAGGTTAACATAATTAATAGGCTTCTATATTTTCTATATGGCACACTTCTTTTTGTCAGCCCATGATAACAAATTTATCAAATCTTGATCCATGAAACATAGTTAATGCAGATGTAAGCAGAAGAAACCTTTAATATATTGTTGAAACATTTATGGAAACAAGAGTTTCCTTTTGACTTGAGCAGAGTAGCTCTGAAGGTAAATCTAGATGAAACCTTCAACTACCTTTCACTTCACTTGTGTTATTATTTTATTATGATATCTTTTATTAGACCAACTGAGTAGTTGGAACAAAAGTCTTGGCAAGTTTTCAGGCACAGTCACCCTTCTTCAGGTATAGGGAGTCTCTGCTGGTCAGACTCTCTATGCCTGAAGAAGGGTGACTGTGCCCAAAAGCTTGCCAAGAACTTTTTTTCCAACTACTCAGTTGGTCTAATAAAAGATATCACGTCTACTCAAAGAATCTTGCCTGCTTATATCTTTAAATCAACACAGCTACAACCAGAAACCCAGCATTTTTTTTTTACAATATCCTTCAATCAGTGGTGTTCTTTTGAGCTGAAATTTACATTTTTCAAATTGAAACAGGCCATGTAAGGAGTCTGTGGAATCTCTGTTACTGGAGGTATTCAAGGAAATATTAGGCAAACCATATGAGGAGTGATCTAGGCCAGGGCTGTCCAACTTCTTAGTCACACACCTGCAGCCCACACTCTGCACAGGCCACATATGCCCATATGCTACGGGGCACATGCCATGCCACCTGACAGGTGTCCCCCCACTGTGTGGATATCCCCAGGTCTTGAATACTGCACCACGTGCCCCCCCACACTGCCACATGCAGTGAGTGCCCTTGGCTCTGCATGCCATGTCATATCTCCTCCCACATACACATCTGCCTCCAGTATCCTGCTGGGACACCGCACAGAGTTCCTAGGTCTCCTCCTGACATCTGGCTGCAAAATCCCTTGGTTCCATGGATACAGCCACCCTACCCCAAGGGTGGTGACAGGAAGCGAATGCAGAAGGAAGGAGCAGGAGACCAGAGACACTGGCAGCAGCTGGAGTGGTGGGGGGAGCAGCACCCAGACCAGGACCCCAAGGGCTGCAGGTTAACCACTTAGGGGCTGCATGCAGCCCACAGACTCCCAGTTGAACTGTCCTGATCTAGGCATACTTAACCCTGTCTCAAAGGAGAGGGATGGAGGGATGGTCTAGACTCTAGGTCAGTGAGGGCTAACCTTTTTGGCCTATGTGCCACAACGTAAGCCCTGAACACTCCTCAAGTGCCATTCTGATTCTCTTCTCCTGCCTCATCTATTATTCTGTTTTCTGATCCCTGCCCTGTTTACTCTAAAATGGTTATACTCTCTTATTGTAATGTTTAAGGGATTTTTAACATTTATTTCACACTACAAGCTCTGTTGTTCAAGGACAAACTGCACAGTATCATGGCACAGATACATAATGTGAATACTACTAGATTTTTGGATACTATAGTAATAAGTGCTCTTGGTACAGATGAATATTCAGTTATGCCCCACTGTACAGAGGAACAGGAGAAGTAGGTCAGCAGCTGAGTTCCTTTTGGGTTGTGCGGTGTTGTCAGAGGCAGCATAGCAAGATATGAAATACTGTGGAAAAAGATACAGCCTACAGATCTGAAAATAGCACAGAATTAGCATCTCCTGAAGTGTAGCCTCAAACTTATGCATGGCTTCAGGCAACCCAAAGCAGTCATACCACTGATTTTTAATT